CACGGATCCATTTAAAAATCTGTTAATGGTATTGTTTCAATGGTGCTCAAAAGTTTGCAATAAGTAAAGAGACTTTTCCAAGAGGGAGCATTTATTAAAAAAAGCAAAAAGGAATTAAAAAGGTTGTAGAAGCCCTGAAAGTAACAGGCAATACAGACTGAAGCACACTTCTCAAATTTTTGTTAAAGTACAAGCAGCTATGCCACATAGCTCAGAAAGAGTAAGCCATCTGCTGCATGATTTATTTAATGATTGAATGATTTTAACACCTTGCCTTTGATATGTGATCAAAGAAACAATTTTGTTTCAGTTTATCATGAATTGCACTGAGATTTGTGGTTTCAACATGGCAAAATGTTAAAAAGTTGAAAGGATATAATTACTTCTGGCAGGAAATGAGGCAGGACATTTAAACTTATTCAATTGAAGCATTGTTGAGATGAGACAAGATGCAGTAAGACTCCTGAAAGAATTACTTACTGATGGGGATGAAGTAGAAGAAGCACCATGGAAAACTCAGATTAGCTACGATGGTGGAGAAGGGGATGGAGGTGGGTTGAGTCGGGGTCATCTGAATCAGATCAGACATAGCCCAACCACTGCCTGCGTTTTGGCTTGGGGGTAGATTGAGTTGTAGATTTGGAGATTTTTAAGATGAAATCTGGATGCTGATTGGGCTTGGTGGTGTTTTTCAAAGCTGATTTGCTTTTCGGAGGACGATGAAGGTAAATAATTCAGTTCATCAGTTGGACTTCCGTCTAGGCTACATTTTAGGTTTTAAAAAACAACCATAAGGACTTTTGTTTCTATTAATATTTTGTAAACTTTGGATCAAAGTGATGATTCTGAAAAATTGTATTGAATTAGCGTGTCTGTTTTACCTTTTATAGGAGGTTGGGCCTTTTAGTTAAATATAACAAAATGAAAAGATTACAATTTTGCTTTTCCCTTTTATTATTCCTGTTTAAAATACTTTTCCTCTGTCATCTGAAACCAGTCTGGGAACAGGACAGATAGGAACCAGTAAACCAGTAAACCACTGGTCCTCCTTCTGTTAATCTAGTAAACTTTTACATCACTGCCTCTAAAAGTGATGAACAGTGAACATTGCTCTGATTTTTTTAGATAGCATTTTATTGTGATTTGACTATGAGTTTATGAGGATAGTTTTCCTCTAAAAGATTGAAGACTGAGATATTTCTTTTGGAATTTTTTTTTTTTTACATATTGATGCTTCAAACTCTTGATTATTATAACAGGAAAAGTTATATATAATAATAAAATAGATGGATCTCAAAAATGGTATCAGTGCGCTATTTGTTGGTACTAGCCAATACCGATACCACCATTTTAGTGCTGGATCAGGGCCCTGTCCGATACTGGTATCGGTATTAATGCAACACTACTAATGATACCTCCATTTACCAGTCAAAGGCAGCTCCAAACAATGGGTTTTTAACTTTGATTTAAAAAACTCAGGCTTTCAGGAGTTTGTTCCAGATAAGTGAAGCATAAGAACTAGTTCTAGTTCCTG